TCACTGACCTTCCACTTTACCTAGCATGATATTCTCCAGGGACTAGCCCCTCCTGACAATATGTCCAAAATACGAGATGAAGTCTCACCATTCTAGCTTCCAAGGAGCATTCTAGCTGTCCTTATTCCAACACAGATCTGTTTGTTGTTCTAGCAGTCCATGGTATTTTAATATTCTTCTCTAATACCATAACTCATATGCATAAATTCATCTATGGTCTTCCTTATTCAGTGTCCAACTTTCACATGCATATGAGCTTATTGAAAATATCATAACTTGGATTAGGCGTACTTTAGTCCTCAAACTGAGATCAGGTGGGATATGTTCAAGGTCATATTTTGTCTCTCTTGGACTTGTTCTACCAACAAGAAGTTGGTGGTTATTGTTGATATGTGCCATGGAGTCGGTTTCGACTCATAGCAGCCCAGAGCTCCTCAATTTCGTCTTCATTGACTTTAGTGGTTGGTGTGTAAACTTGAGTAATAGTCATAGTAATTGGTCTTCCTTGTAGGCATATGGATATTATCTATCACAGACAGCATTGTGTTTCATGATAGATCTTGAAATGCAGTTCAAACTCACCAGCTGCTCCTCAGAAACCCTATATAGGGTCACTATGAGTTGGAACCAACTCAAGACACTTAACAACAACATTGTGAATTGAGTGAAGGTTTGCAGAGCACATCATTAGTTTTACATTCAAGAAATCATGCACTTTGTTTCATCTCAATGATTGCAATCCCTTCCATGTAACAACAAACATCCCATTTCATACCTGTGGTTCTTATTTCCATTCCACCCTCCTCCCCAGCCCTTCTGAATTTTGTTTTTAGGTAAATGTTGCCCTGTTGATCTTGAATGGTTGACCATTCTGTGGTGACCATACCTTACTAATACTGTTGTCCCTGTTATAGACCATCTATTGCTTGACTGACAATTGGGCCATGAGGGTAAGTTCCGTCCCAGACCTGAAAAGTGGCTGAGGACCATAGTCTCAAATTTCTCCAGTCTCTTTTTGACCAGTAAGCCCAGTCTTTTTTACAATGTTGATTGAGTTTTGTTCCACATTTTCGCCCACTTTGCCTGGGGCCTTCTAATATGATCAGTTTCAGAGCAGTGGGTAGTGGTAGCCAGGTACCATCTAGTTCTTCTGGTCTCAGAGTCGTGGAGATTGATGTTCACATGTTGCATTAGTACATTGGTCTAAATGATTCCAAGCACCTTTACTTTTCATCCCTCTTCTTTCCTTGACACATGGAGAGCCCAAGAGTTGCACCTTAGATGGCTGTTCATGATATATAATTTTTTTTTCTTTTTCTTGTTGTGAACTGATAGATAGTTTACATGGGAGAACTTTGGCTTTACACCGTCGTTTCATTGCAATGATTACAGTGTCCTCCGTGCATCATCATTCAACAGTATTCCCTCTTTTTTGGGGGGAGGAGGAGTTCAGGGGTGTATACACAAACACTCAGGAATATATAATAATTTAAACAACCAAAGGGCACATTCTGCAAGCCTGCCTACTGGCTGCCAACACTCAGTCCCTCTCTTTCCATGAGTCTAGAGTCCTCAGCTGCTCCCTCTTTCCATGTCCTCATCTCTGCCTCCATCTCTGGTGTCACTGCTTCTCTGGATAGCGTCCCGCAATCCACTTGTGATCTTCTCCCTTGATGGTCCTCAGGTCCTCTGTTCCTGGACTGTAAGATTATAACAAAAACCCTGTTTTTGTTATAACACTTTTACCTTCACAGTTGTGACAGTCGCAATTAGTCATGATAATAGTTACACACTATTGAATCATAAGAATCTTATCCCCATCTCTTTTCTCTAGACCCATCTAGACAAGATGAAAACTATTCAGTGGGGACTCTGTCTTTCCCTGCGCACTCTTAAACTAAACTCCCTCTTGAAAACTTGTATGCCAGTCATTTTGTGCCTTTATTGCCCCCTCATTTTATGTAGCCATTGTCTACGTTACCAACCCTATCTACCCTGTATACAGAGGGGATAAGATTGATACTTGATGTGAAGACTCCTTCCCTCTCTGTTTGTATTTTGAGTTACTACATCCATAAGTATAGGTCAAGTTCGTCAAATTGTAGCAATTTACACTCGTTCCCTTTATCAAAAATTTTTTTTTTTTATTTTCCTGTAGTTGAATTGTGACGTGGCCACCGAGGCTAGGTCAGATGGATACAGTCAGCAAGTTTGGGTGTTCTTGTGCATCTCTCCTCCCTTCATATCAGTTGGATGCTTCACTCTCAGCTCTAGCCCTCTGTGGATCTGTCCTTGTCCATGGTCTCAAGTGTTCTCAGGTCTCACCACACTTTGGACCAACCAGCCATTCCTCTTCTCTCTCTCATCTCAGGTCAACGGGAGTCTATGGAACATGGTTGGACTCAGCCCATTTCTTCATTGCTGCCTTTCCCCTGTTCCACTCTCCAATAGATCAGTGTGGTTGCCAGCAAGCTTATATGCCTGCTAATGTGTTCCCTTTGAATTTCAGTCTTGGAGGGGGTTTGTCTTGAAGGGACTTGCTTGCTAACCTTGTTTGTTCTTGTAGTAGCCAGTCATACTGCCAGTTTTGTTTTGGGTTTTTCCTGCTGATCTTTCTTTGAAGATGTATCTTCTGTTGCTCTAATGTTCATGATTTTTTTAAGATCCCAGTGACTGCTCACCAAAGTAGGATATGACTACTCAGTGTCTTTGGGGACTATGTTGTGTCAGTTGACATAGTGTACCCTGAGACTATGGTCCTGAGCCCCTAGGCCCAGCAACTGGTTGCTTTAAGGTGTTTGGTACTATCTGAAGTTTTCACTTTGCCCCGTATGTGTTCCAGCACATTCATAGATGTATTTGTAACAAGGATCAGTACCCATGTACAAATACCCTCTGACAAACCCTTGTATATATATGCTCCCACTCTCCCATGCCTGCTCAGCCTGTGTACCCATGGGTGTAACCGTGGGACACAGTAGTAGGGTTGTATATATGACAGTATGAAATGCTCTTTTTGATGATGAGTATGACACAGTTCCACTTCAGTTAATTGTTTGATTTGAATGGCTAATACCTGTCCATTTCTGAGCTCAGTAATGCCTAGAATATCAACCTTTATGCCTTCCATTTCTTTTTTTGACAACTTCCAATTTTCCTAGATTCATACTTTGTATAGTCCGTGTTCTGATGACTAATGGATGTTTGCAGCTGTTTCTTCTCATTTTGAGTTGTGTTACATCAGCAAACAAAAGTCCCAGAAATATTCCATTCATGTCATTAAGGTCATTTCTACTTTGAGGAGGCAGCTCTTCCCAGTCGTATTTTGAGTGCCTTCCAACCTGAGGGACTCATCTTCTGGTGCTACATCACACAGTGTTCCACTGCTATTTATAGTTTTCAGTGACTAACCATTCAGAAGTGGTCTGCCTCTCCTCCCCCTTCCTAGTCTTAGTCAGTAAGCTTCACTGAAATCTATCTACCGTGAGTGACCTTACTGCTATTTAAAACATTGGTGGCATGGCTTCTAGCATCACAGCAACACATAAGCCACCATAGTATGATACACTGACAGACGAGTAGTGGATAAAACAAATTAGAGTCCCAAAACAAATTTATGACAGTATCAGCAGGGAAAGGATTCAATAAATGGTGCTAGGATAATTGGTTATTCATAAGGGGAGGATTTTCACTGGACTCTTAATGTCAAGCCATACACAAACATCAATCTCCAGTGGATTAAAAACTTCCATGTAAAAGGTAGAAGTAAATGTTTGAAAGAATAATGTCGGGCGGTATCATTTAACTTTGAGGTAAGAAAAACTTTTAAGACACAAAAAGTACAAAGAGAAAGGGAAAGAATGATTACATTGTGTGCATTCATCAAAAGATGGGAGAATACAATGGAAAGACTAGCCACCCTGGGAGATATTTGTAACACCCATCAAAGGATTTGTATGCTTTGGCAGTTACTAAGTGCCATAGAGTCAATTCTGACTCACAGTGACCCTGTGTAGGGTTTCTGAGGAGTGGTTGTTGTGTTTGAACTGTTGACTTTGTGATTAGCAGTCCAGTGTTTATCCAACAGTGCCCTACCAGGACCCACAGTTGAGCAGTAGCTAGAAGAAAAATGAGAGTTCACAGGAGGTGTTAAATGGATGTGTGTGCGGGTGTTTGCTTTTGATAGTAGAGACAGCACTTTTTAGTTTTGATGGTTAAGAAGGAAATATTGGAAATACTGGAGAGAGAGAGGCTTGGGGCCCCTGAAGAACTGGGAGGAAGTGGAATCCACAATCTATGGAGAGACCCTCAGACATTTTAGAAGTAACTTACAAATAAATATCTTAGAAACATAGTCCCTGGTGTTGACTAATTCTTTACCATTCTCTTTGCTCTCTTCCTAAAGTATACTTTGACTTACTCACAGAGCTAATATTTGTCAAGTTCCTACTATGCCGGGCATGCTAAGGATGTAATGGTGGGGATGTATAGGCCTTGTCCTCATGAGTTTGTGAGTTATTAGTGAAAACAGTAATGTAAAAACCCTTTAGGGTTGTTTATAAGGCTTGTTCATATTTTTATTCTTTATTTTTGAAGTTGATTTGCTTTGTTGTTGTTGTTGTTATGTGCCGTGGAGTCGGTTCCGACTCATAGCGACCCTGCACAGGGTTTCCGAGGCTGTTAATCTTTACGGGAGCAGAACGCCTCATCTTTCTCCCACGGAACCGCTGGTAGTTTCGAACTGCTGACCTTACAGTTCACAGCCCGATTCGTAACCACTACGCTACCAGAGCTCCTTGATTTGCTTTAGTAGATACTAAATTCATAAAAAGAAAATGGAGAAAACTCAGACACTGTTGTCAGAATAGGGAATAATAGGGGAACTTGTTTATGGTTCACTAAATTGAACCGGTATGTGGAAAGCGCCTCAGTAACCTGTTGCTGAGTCCCACCCACTTGGAATGCAGAATGATGAACTCTGGTTCCTTTTACTCAGACATCATGCAGAGAGCTACACGGCTGAAGAGGGAGCTGAACCTACTAGCCACAGAACCGCCCCCAGGCATCACATGCTGGCAAGAAAATGACCAGATGGATGATCTTCAAGCTCGTGGGTACCATCACATCCTACCTGGAATGAGAGTCATTGCACTATTGAGTTTTGTTCTGGAATTCAATGTTTGTGTATTCTTCTAAAGTAGAAGGCAGTTACACAGAGTGTCTCTACCACCTTTCTGCCCTAATTTGTTTGTGTTCATAAAAGGTTTGCCTGACACTACTTGCCTGTCTGGCTCTTCATTCTGCCTTTTCCTGGTTTAGAGCTAAGATCCGGACATCAGCTCTGAAGCAGTGATTAGATCACAGATCACCATTTCAAATGTTTGAGTCAAAGCAGGGGGTAGAAATGATTAACACACTGTCACCTAAATAAAACAAATTTGCAAGTTGTATTTAGTTTGTGGCCAGCATTTTTGCAATTTCTGTTTTGGATCTTGTATATGTCGTAGCTCTGACACCTTCAATTTAGGGGTAGTATCAGCCTCATGATGCATGAGGATTTGAAATGCTGACTTTGTGGTTAGCAGCCTAATGCTTACCCCACACAGTCAATAATACCCCAGGAGAGAATTATTGATCAGATCGTGTTTTTTTATTAGGATTATAGACTTCATTAGGTCCATATGTTATAATGATTTGAGTCCTCTGATCCCCTCTTAACTTTTTCTTTTTAAGAAATACTAGGTGGAGCCAATACGCCGTATGCAAAAGGTGTTTTCAAGCTGGAAGTGATCATTCCTGAGAGGTTAGTGTGAATTTGATTCTAAACCTACAGGATAAAGTGCACTTGTTGGAAGAGAGAACAATGTAGTAAGTGTAGCATTAAATCTTGGGGTTAAAGGTCCCGGATTTTAGTCTTATGTTTTATCATGACTTACAGGATCAGGCAGTGTTTCGTTCTGCTGGGCATAAGGTCGCTATGGGTCGGTACCTACTCGATGGCACATAACAGCAACAACAACAACAATTGTAACCCTGGTGTTACAATGGAATCCTGGTGCGGCACTGTGAGTTAATGTGCCAGACTGCAAAGCCGTTTGAACTACAAGGTCGGTGGTTCAAGCTCACTAGTCGCTCCTTGGAAACCCTATACAGGGTCGCTGTGGGTCGGAACCGACTCAATGGCACTTAACAACAACAACTGTAACCCTGGTTGACTCAAATGGTTTGCATTCAACTATTAAAGGCTGGTGGTTTAAACACCCCCAGCAGTGCTGTGGGAGAAAGGCCTGGTGATCTGTTTCGGTAACTGTTACCGTCAAGAAGCCTGACAGAGCAGTTCTACTCTGTCACACATGGGTTGCCATGAGTCAGAATTGACTTCATGGTATTGGCTTTGGGTTTTCTTTTTTAGTATGATCTCTGGGTCTCAGTTTCCTCCTTTAAAATAATGGGCTAAATCACATAGTAAAACCCAACACCAGACCAAATCCACTGCCGGTGAGTCAGTTCTGACTCCTGGTGACCATATAGGGCCAAGCAGAGCTGCCCCTTACGGTTTCCAAGATGGTCAATCTTTATGGGAACACACTGTCGTGCCTCTCTGCCAAGTAGCGACTGGTGGGCTTGAAACACCGACTTTGTGGTTAGCAGACTAATGCTTACCCCATAGAGCTTCTGGGACCGTTTTAATTCTAGTCCCATTTAAAGCTCTAGTCCAGTGAGTTATAGTTGTAGTAATTTTGTTTACAATGGGGAAGAGAGAAATGAATATCTAACTGTTGGAATGTAGGCATTTATCTGTTTGTTCACCAGGTTAGATCCTGGCCAAAATTATTAAAGTCGTAAGAAAATTAGCATAATCATGTGGTGCATCAAGTTTGAAAATAGTCTGGGAGCTTGCTTTCCAAGGTTTGTTTCTCAATAAAGAGACATAATTACCAAATACAATGTTTAAGTCTTGCCCGAATCCTGATTTGGAAAATCCAGCAACAAAAGACATTTTGGGCACTATAGTGTTAAGTGCCGCCAAGTCAGTTTCTTCTCAGCTAACCTAAATATGGTTTCCAAGGAGCAGCTGGTGGGTTTGAACTGCTAACCTTGTCATTAGCAGTCCAGTGCTTATCTTGCAGTGCCATACCAGGACTTCCCCTCCTACAGACTGTCCTAAATCTTAGGAGATACGTCGTAAGTATTTAAGAAGTGAAATGGCTTGAATCTAGGCAGTGGGTATGTGGGTGTTAATATGAAAGTGATGTTTAATACTTTAATGGTTTCAACTTTTCTCATTGTTTGAAATTTTTCACAATAAAAGAGCTGGAGGGAGGAAAGGTTTGCCTCTCAAAAGTTGTCTTCCTGATATTTCTATAATTCCAGCAATTTTTTTCATATTAGTTACTGTTTATGTTGTATTTAGAAGCAATATTTCAATGAAAATATGTCCATTGTCCTGTGCTTTCATAGATACCCATTTGAACCTCCTAAGATCCGATTTCTGACACCAATCTATCATCCAAACATTGATTCTGCTGGAAGAATTTGTCTAGATATCCTCAAATTGCCACCAAACGTGAGTGGTGGGTAAGAGGTGGACTCTACAGTATTCTGTTGTCCTCATCTATGACACTTGAATTTGAGTGTCACATTCTTAGAAATACAAAGGCCTGTCTGCATTTAGGGTGCCTGGAGACCATCCCTCAACATTGCGACAGTGTTGACCTCGATACAGCTGCTTATGTCAGAACCCAACCCTGATGACCCACTCATGGCTGACATAGTAAGTGTTCCCTGCAATACATATCTTAGTTTCTCTATTCACTAGCTACCAGTAGCTACAGCAGCTGGAGCATACCACCACAAATCATTTTTCTCTCCATTGACTCTTCTTTAACTTCATCTCAGTCCTCAGAATACAAATATAATAAACCAGTCTTCCTCAAGAATGCCAGGCAGTGGACCGAGAAGCATGCGACACAGAAGCAGAAGGTACGGTATTTGTACTGTTCTACTTTTGCTACTGTTGTCAGTCTCCTGAACCTGTGTGTTTGTATAGGTGTGTTAGTTGTTCTTAGGTGCCATCAAGTCAGTTCCTACTATAGCAACCCTATGCACAACAGAACAAAACACTGCTTGGTCTGGACTATCCTCACAATTGTTTTGTGTGAGCCCGTTGTTGTAGCTACTCTCTCAGTCCTTCTCCTTGAGGGCCTTCCTCTTCACTGATCCTCTACTTTACAAAGCACGATGTTCTCCAGAAACTGGCCTCTCCTGACAACTTGTCCAAAGTACTTGAGGCAAAGTCTTGCCTGTACTCGCTTCTTTGGGTCATTCTGGCTGTACTTCTACAGACAGATTTGTTTGTATTTCTGGCAGTCCATGGTATTTTCAATATTCCTTGCAAACACTATAACTCAAGTGCATCTGTGGTCTTCCTTGTTCATTGCCCAGCTTTCACATGCATATGAGGCTATTGAAAATACCATGGCTTGGGTCAGGGGCACTTTAGTCCTCAAAGTGACATTTTTGTTCTTTAATACTTTAAAGAGGTCTTTAGCAGCAGATTTGCCTAATGCAGTATGTCCTTTGAACTCAACCTGTATAGGCATAAATTAAGTCCTGGTGGCATAGTGAGTTACGTACTGGGTTGTTAACCACATGGTTCAAGCCTACCAACCACTCTGAAGGAGAAAAATGAGATTTACAGCCTCAAAAACCTCTTATACAGGCTTGCTATGAGTCAGAACCAGTTAGACAGCACACAACAGCAGCAGCATAGGTAAAAATAGTGCTTATTGGATTTGCCAGATTTGTACTATAGAATGGTTAGTTGATCCCTTTCTCCTACTGCAGTCTTGTAAGAACTCATTCAGCAAAACAGCCTTGTAGGAGTGGCTCAGCAAACAGTGTGTTGTTCCTAACAGTTATCTACTGACAACACTAGAGGGCAGGCCGCATCTGGTTAATTTGTCTTATACTTCTTGGGGTAGCAGAGAGGGGAAATGAGTTAGATTCTTTTTTCTAAATTTTCTTTTTTAACACCAAGAAGGGACTCTCTTTGTGGGAATGTGGGGGAAGAGAGGTGCGGGATAGGATAAGAAAAGTGACTTTTCTCATGGGTCCATTCAAAATACAAATTGCAGAGACCTGGAGATGAGCATATCCTTTAGATGAAGTAGCAGGTTATGTTTTACTTATGAAGAGAAATAAAACTTAAAGCACACAAAAGATTAATGAAGATGCTTTGGAGGGAATATTAAATGCAATAGGTAGCAGAGGAGACTGTGAAAGATTTATTTCTCCATCCTGGAAGTTGTGTGAGCCTTGTTGTATTTCACCCTATTTGCTCTTTCTAAGGCTGATGAGGAAGACATACTGGATTGTCTACCAGAGGCCAGTGACCCAGAAGCTCAGAACACAGCACAAAAAAGGAAAGCCCAGCAACTGGGAGGGATAGAAAAGAAATTTCATTGTGATGTGTAGGGGATTTCTCTTGGTCTGTCTTAGTTAATACATCTTCATTCTTTGCCATGGTGGTCTAATTTGCCTACCTTTTTTATAATGTGTTTCTTTGTATCTGATGACTTAATTTTTGTATCCCATAAAACAGACCCTGTATATTTATGTATTCTGCATTACAGTGATTTTCTGAGTATCGTTTGTTTTATTTATCTTGCACTTGTATTTTAAAACCTCTTAACCTGAAAAATAAATAATCATTAAATGTTGAGTATGTGTTTATCCTGAATGTGTGTCTGGGAGTAAACTGGCCAGAGAGCTCTATAATCAGAATGTTAAAATATTTGGAATTGTTGCCCTTTATTTTGCCAACATACCGCCATCACTGGGGACATTGAATGTTTGACATAATGTAAAGTTGCTCTTAGAAACAATTCAATTACCACTAGGCTTTCAGGGATTCTAGGTTTTTAGGAATCTTGGCACAATGTGGGAATAAAAGTAATGTGCTTTGTACCCCCTCTCCCCCCTTTTATTTAAAAAAATTTTTTTACAGCTTTTACTTTTTGTGACTTGCATACCTGGCCACATTACTGTATTTGGACTTTATTCTATTCAGCAAATATTTATTGAACTACAGTATGCCAAGCATAGTGCTAATGCTGTAGAATATAATAGTGAGCAAAATCAGACATGGGACTAAGCCAATAGTCATACAAATTTAAAATGGGAATTATTACAATCCCATTCTCTTCATAGTTGTGTTTCATGTTAAGTCCTACTCTTAACAACTACAAATCCCTATTCATTACCTTGTTGTTGTTAGGTGCCATCAAGTTGGTTCAAACCCACAGCAACCTTATGTTCAACAGAATAAAACCACCTGGCCCCGTGCCATCCTCACAGTTGCTGCTGTGCTTGAGCCCATTGTTGCTGCCACTGTGCCAGTCCATCTCGTTGGGAGTCTCCCTCTTTTTTGTTGACCCTCCACTTTACCAAGCATGGTGTCCATCTCCAGGGACTGGCCCCTCCTGATAACATGTCCAAAGTGAGACATGTCCAATGAGAGACGAAGTCTGGCCTTCTTAGCTTCTAAGGAGAATTCTGGTTGTACTTCTTCCAACATAGATTTGTATGTTCTTCTGGCAGTCCATGGTACTTTTAGTATTCCTCGTCAGCACCATAACTCAAATGTATCAGTTCTTCTATGATTTTCTTTATTCATTGTCCAACTTTTACATGCATATGAGGCTAGTGAAAATACCATGGCTTGGGTCAGGTGCACTTTAGTCCTCAAACAGACATCTTAATAGTCTGTTAGGTAACAGAACAGGCTTGAGCAGAAATCAATTTAAGTGGGCAAAGGTTGCCCATGTAAGGTGAAAAACTTTTTGAGGAATGTAGTTATTAGAACCACTTAGAGAAATAAAGACTCTGTTGTCCTTGTCTGTATCCCAGCAGAGCAATGATTTTATCCTAGGCTGGGTACCATTTACATAAACTGCATGTCTGAATATGCAGTTTCCGTTCATCTCACCTGTGAGTTCCTCTGTACCCTTCACAGCCTGCCATGTAATGTGTGTGGTGAGCTCAGTGCAAGGAAGAGGGCAAGGTAAGTGTGAATTTATGTAACCCATTAATGACAGGTAATGGCATATACCGAAAATACACATTTCTTTAGTATTCCCTAGTTTATAAATTCCCAAATCTGTTAACAGATTTTTTTTAAATTAAGTTTTTTGTTGTTTTAAATTGTGATAAAAATACACATAACAAAATATTTGCCAGTTCAACAATTTGCACATGTCTTATTCAGTGATATTGGCTGCATTCTTCGAGTTGTGTAACCATCGTAACTATCCTTTTCCAAGTCATTCCACCACCATTCATAGAAACTTGGTGCCCTTTCATGATAACGCCTCTTCCTCCTCCCAATTCAGGTAAACGCTAATCAGCATTGTTGTTAAGAGTTGTCAAGTCAATTCTGACTCATAGTGGCCCTGTATAGGGTTCTATGGAATGGCTGGTGGATTTGAATCGCCAACCTTATAGCTAACAGTCCAGTACTTATCCTACAGCGCCACACCATGACTTTGTTTTCTATTTACCCAGTTCACATAAATGAGATCATATAGTATCTGTCCATTCACAACTAACTTAATTCACTTAGCAAAATTGTTGTCAAGGTTCATCCATGTAATGACATGTTGTTGTTGTTGTTAGGTGCCATTGAGTTGGTACCAACTCATAGTAGCCCTATGCATAACAGAACAAAACACTGCCCTGTCCTGGGCTAATCTCATAATTGTCACACTTGAGCCATTGATGCTGTCATACTACCAAACCATCTCACTGGGGGTCTTCCTCTTTTTCTCTGACCTTCCACCTTACCAAACATGATATCCTTCTCCAGCAGTTTGGTCCCAGACTTTATTTCTCATTATGGCTGAGTAATATTCCATTGTGTGTATGTACCACAAGTTGTTTATCCATTCATTTGAAGACAGACATCTCCATTTCCACCTTTTGATATTTTTGTGAAAAGTGCAGCAGTGAACTTTTGTGTACTGGTTTCTGTTTGTAGTCCTGTTTTCAATCTTTTTGGGTCTATGTAAGATTGGGATTGTTGAGTCATATGGTAGTTCTGTGTTTAACTTTTAGAGGAACTGCCAAGCTTTTCTTCTAGTAGCTGTACCATTTTACACTTTCACAACCAATCATTGAGGGTTCCAATTTTTCCACATCCTTGCTAATGTTCTGGGTTTTTTGTTGTTTTTTGCCATAGCCATGCCAGTGGGGGTGAGGTGGTATTTTTTGTTTTGTTTTATAATTTATTTTTGTTGCTGAAAACAAAAATGCAGAACCTAAACCAATTTAATCATTTTTAATTCATTGACTATCTTCTTCAAATTGTGCAAACATTGTCCCCCTCCTTGTCTGAATTGTTCCTCCCCCATTGACATGAACTCACTGGCCCCTAAGCTTTCTATCTGTCTTTTCAATTTCCTGTCATCAACTTGAGCCCAAGTAGATAGCTCTTTAAAACAGCATCATTGTCCTGACTGGCTCACAAGCTTTCAAGAAGGAGCTTGGTTCCAGAGGCTGCAGAGGAAGGTAGAATCTCCACTGAGCCGTATCCAATCTGTCTGGGTGGGCCTGATGAAATGGGGATAGGACTCTTGTGGTACAATAGTGAATAATTGCCATCAGGACTGACAGTGAGGGTTGGAAATGTAAAGGTAGGTGTTTTGTAACAAAAGGAGGGGAGTGATTGACTTTGCAATCCAGGAGCAGAGGTCCCTGGGACCATCAA